GTGTTAATTTGTGTTAAAGTTGTGTTAATTTGTGTTAAAGTTGTTAAGTTAAAGTTGTGTTAATTTGTGTTAAAGTTGTTAAGTTAAAGTTGTGTTAGTTTGTGTTAAAGTTGTGTTAATTTGTGTTAAAGTTGTTAAGTTAAAGTTGTGTTAATTTGTGTTAAAGTTGTTGTGTTAAAGTTGTGTTAATTTGTGTTAAAGTTGTTAAGTTAAAGTTGTGTTAATTTGTGTTAAAGTTGTGTTAATTTGTGTTAAAGTTGTTAAGTTAAAGTTGTGTTAATTTGTGTTAAAGTTGTGTTAATTTGTGTTAAAGTTGTTAAGTTAAAGTTGTGTTAATTTGTGTTAAAGTTGTGTTAATTTGTGTTAAAGTTGTTAAGTTAAAGTTGTGTTAATTTGTGTTAAAGTTGTGTTAATTTGTGTTAAAGTTGTGTTAATTTGTGTTAAAGTTGTGTTAATTTGTGTTAAAGTTGTGTTAAAGTTGTGTTAATTTGTGTTAAAGTTGTGTTAATTTGTGTTAAAGTTGTTAAGTTAAAGTTGTGTTAAAGTTGTGTTAATTTGTGTTAAAGTTGTGTTAATTTGTGTTAAAGTTGTTAAGTTAAAGTTGTGTTAAAGTTGTGTTAATTTGTGTTAAAGTTGTGTTAATTTGTGTTAAAGTTGTTAGTTTGTGTTAAAGTTGTGTTAATTTGTGTTAAAGTTGTGTTAATTTGTGTCTGCAGGATGTGGAAGGCTCTGTATAACCACGTGGACAAGTCGACACCTCATCAGTCTCCTGCTGACTTCCTGTCTGCCGTCAGGGAGGAGTCTCAGCAGCTGGAGGAGGAGCTGACCAATCACCAGGAGGTACCGGCTGGAGGAACCGCCCACCACCAGGCAGCGGGCTCCAGACAAGGCATCCAACACACAAACACACCTACACAACTGTGACGCACACRGCCTGAAGCTCTGTCCCGTGTCCAGCAGAACTCTGGTTCTGGTGGTTCTGTAGAMCCTCCTGCTGTTCTGGTCTTTCAGAACGGTTCTGTTCTCTCCTCAGAAGATCGCCGCTCTGACGGGGAAACGGATCCCGTGGACCGAGGTCCAGGTTCCGAGGAGGACTAGCCGTCTGCGGCAGAGACACAGCGGACCCGACCCGCCGGGTTCTTACTCAGAACCGACCGCCAGACCAGCTCTTCAGAACTCCCACTTGTGCTCCTCAGACCCGGCCAATCAGAAGGCTCTGAGTCAGGACTCCGCCCCCTCTGGGTCCTTGGGGCTGCAGCTGGACCTGGAGGACCGGTTCGCCTGCAGCGACCTGGAGTCGGGCGTGGCCGACCTCAGCAGCCGCTCGTCCAGTGGTGGTGACGACAGCAAGGACCCGGACCAGGACCAGGACCAGGACTGAGGCTGTCCGTGCTGCTGCCTGAGCAGAAAAAGGACCCGAGGATGGATGAGGGTCAGACAGGTAGAGTTATGTTCTGATGGTTCTGGATCAGGACCAACTCACCCACATTCACTTTGAGTTGAGTTGTTGCAGACAGGATGTTCTGTCCAGCTGTGAGGACACGGAGCAGGACGGGTCCAGTCCTGGTTCTGACTCTGCAGACTGGACTGAGTCCAGTCCACAGATCTGATCCATTTAGCTGCTTTGAATCCACCAGAACCAGAGAAAAGATCTCTKATTTCTTCTTCTAGAAATATTTTACTGACAGGGTGGTTTTATTATCCAACTCTTACATTCCTGTCAGAACGGGCTGAGCCGGTCCTGCAGGACCCTTGGACCAGAACCTCAGACCTGCAGTCCTGCAGGACCCTTGGACCAGAACCTCAGACCTGCAGTCCTGCAGGACCCTTGGACCAGAACCTCAGACCTGCAGTCCTGCAGGACCCTTGGACCAGAACCTCAGACCTGCAGTCTGTGCAGTCCCCTTGGACCAGAACCTCAGACCTGCAGTCTGTGCAGTCACTGGTGCGATTTAGAAA